AAATTATCTCAATAGTAATTTAAATGTACATCAATTTCAAAAGAATTTGTTAGCAAAAACTCATGTTAAGTTCTACTCTGTTTAACACCCCCCTCCCCCCTTTTCCCTTATAAAAAAAAAACTCTCACAATTTTCTTTTTCTGTAATAATGCATATCCCAGACAAAATTGATAAAGAATAAATTAATTTGCTTTTTATTTCAAATCTTTTGGGTTTGGGTTTATTACTTGAGTAAAATTTAAAAAATCCGTATTTTTCCCGGACCGGTTTTGACTTCTATCGGATGAAAGTGTACGTCATATTTGACGTCACTGCTGCAGCAGAAGTGCTGAGTGTTGGAAAAAGTAAGTAATCTCCTAACAATTTTTAAAGACCTTTAATTCATATTGTTTAAATATCGTTTCATTACGGTTACAGGTTCGTATGAACTCATCTCTGTAATACTCTCATCACTTGTAATTGTTAAATTAATGCATTTCGTAAACTTAACCTACATAACGTTGGTGATCTGTAAGTAATTTTGGATAAATTTGTTTCTGAATGGATGTAAACATTACAATTTACATGTTAGGCTAAAGGCATTACTTTGTTTTCTTTTTGTTTTGACTTTTGTTACGTACTGATTTGAAAGTGAAAGTAGAAACCCTGTATAGCAGTTTGGCGCTTTTGTATGTTGAGATTGTTATCAAGTCGATTCTTTCATCAAGTTAATGACAAATGTTTGTTTTTATGTCCTATAGATGCATTCAACAACTTGAGTTCAGTGTCACCGTGCTGCTTTTTTATTATGTCCAAGAAGCCCAAAGCTGATAACCCAAACGGAAAAGATTTTTAACAAACTACTATTAAACCATCAACAAACTACCAACAAACTATATTTTAGTGGTTTGTTAAAGTAGTTTGATAGTATAGCATTTAATGAAACACAAACAAACCACTGTTTCTAAAAATAAGTAAAGTGGTTTGTTAGTCTTTCATTTCTGCTGATTGTGATTTCTTTATAGTTTGTTAGACTTGGTATCTTGCAACAGTGTTTTATTAGTAGAGCATTTGCATCTAACCACATGGGAAATTACTTTACAGACATGTTTAGGGTTGAATTATCTGGAATTGTTGAAGTTTCTAAGAACAGCTTAATCTTTACATCCGGTGTTAGCTATTTGCGCCAATTTTCAAACCACCATGCAGGTCAGAAACAAAGGAACTGGTGAAAGGACATTCAAATTGTTAGTATCGTTCTACAAGATTGTGACATGACTGGAAAAAGCAGCAATTAACATTATTAAAAGATGGATCTAGATACAGAAGAGGTATTTAATGCATGTCATGAAGTTCCTTTTTGCCTAAAATAATTAAGGCTGGACTACAGTAATGAACCTTCTGTGTATGTGGATGTGTATGCTTTTTACTAGCTTTGGGTTTTTATCAATTTCAGATTGACCTATAATTCCTATACTAGTTTAGATCAGTTATGCATTGGATTATGGGAAGTATACTTGAAAATAAGACAAAAAAAGATGTCTTTCAAAGTTGCAATAAGGCCATGCAGAAAAAGGAAATATTGCAGCATTTTCCATGCCAGATGAAGCAGGGAATATTTAAATGTCAGCTTGAAGAACATTTTTTTGGTGAAAAATACTATTAAGATGTGCACAACATGAAGGAGAATATGTGCGGATAAGTACATAGACATGACTTGGAAACTGGCATCTCCTAAACAAAAGGCAACATGTTGGAATGTTGCACTTGCATTGGCTAAACTGAATCCTGGAATTTAAAATACTCTGAAACAAGACTTGTTGAATACTTCAAAATGTGACTGTTTTAGGTGTTTTCAAAGACTTGTGGATTTGTAAAGGAAAATTCAAATCTAGTGTTTTGCTGATGGATTTGTTACCAGTGTTTTGTTAGTAGTTTGTTAGAGTGGTTTGATAGTAGTTTGTTAGTGTGGTTTGATAGTAGTTTGTTAGAATGGTTTGATAGTAGTTTGTTAGAGTGGTTTGATAGTAGTTTGTTAGAGTGGTTTGATAGTAGTTTGTTAAGAGTGGTTTGATAGTAGTTTGTTAGAGTATAGTTTGTTAGCTCATTTGCATGTGATTTGCTATACTATTAAACTACTTTCAAACCATAGTGGTTTGTTAGTAATTTGTTATAGTAGTTTGTTTGCCCTTTTTTTCCGTATGGGAAGACTGGCGATTGATCCAAAAGCTGATTGTGACAGACGATTGGATCATTACAATATTAAAGGTAAAAAGAAATACTTGCAATAAAAAATCAAAGTGTACATCTGTAATGACTCCTTTATGACAAAATATTTCTTGATAATTTATTTTTGTTCCTTTATAATTCTACATTGTTTGCATGGCTTCATCAAAAATAAATTCAACTCATAATATAGAAGTTGTATTCTACATTATGAAACAATTTTAATCCAATGCACTTTTAAAATATGGTAAGTATGAATAGAATATGCTGGCTTTAAAAGCTATGAAACTATACTATAACTTCAGGGGGTATAATAATAACAGTGGCAACTTTCAAGGTACACATATGCATGTGTATGTGTTGAAAGTACATCAGGTAGCTAATCCATTGAATATTTACATCTATGTACTCATTGACTGACATTTATAAAAAAAATTTTTTAATACTAATAGAGAACCTAGTTTCGGGTGAAATGTAAGATATTTAAGACTTTTGAGAACCTACAAACTTGTATACTCTCTCTTTTTTGTAGTTTAAGCTTTAGTTATGCTTAGAAAATATCTACTGTGTTAATATTGGTTTTACAGGTTCAATATACAGGTTCAACATACAGTCAGCCTCTCATAAGAAAAAATCCAAAGATCCTAGGCTTGTCAAAAGTTAAGGTAACTACACACTGTTTAACAGACTTTGTTATATTCTTCTCAACAAAGTTTGGGATATCCTGGAATCACAAAGTCTGTTTTTCTGCCTATCTACTTGTCTGTGATTTTTTTTGTCAAAAAGTAATATATTTGTCAGAATCTTCTAAATTTTTGGCTATATACTATTTGAACATTCCATCATATTCAATTGACAAAAATAAAAATAAAATGCTTTTTATGATTTTAATATGAAGCATATATTCCAATAGTGCAATTGTCTTGCAAAATTCAATTCAATTATCAAAATAAAAAAAAATGCTTTTTATAATTTTATTATGAAGCATATCTTCCAACAGTGTCTTGCAAATTACATTATAGGATTTCACAAAACACCTAGTATATAACATTAGTTTTATCTCGTATTATATCTGTGTCGGTGAATTGGGAATACATTTGTTTGCTGATGAATAAGTTACTTTAATATAACTTGTAGAATTGATTTTGTAATTTAAGAATTATTTTATTTTTATTTTTGAAATTTTTGTAGAGACCATTTTTGTAGAGACCATTCTGTGCCACAAAGAAATTGTTCAGGAAGGGGAGAACTGGTGGATTTGCATTTTTGGTACAGTTCAAAGGGATTCTCAAAATGGTCAGATCAGAGGGAGGACAACTGAAAATATTGAAAGATACAGAAGGAAAAAGAACCTGGAAATATATGGAATAATTATGAAATGTGGAGAATGTACACAACCTTTCTGAATTTGACCTGTAAAGATTTCTTATTTGTATGCTAGAATATCAAAAAACTTGATTCTTCATAAATTTACAATAGAGAATACATGACAAATGTAATTGCTGATATTTCAATTTTGCTGTGGACACTTTCATGTCATATGGTATTTTTATACAAGTACATGACCTAATTATTTTATTCATTTGTACATGTATACATCTGCTGAAATCTTATAATTTGTACTCATTTTAGAATATGTTAAATACATGTATCGACAAATGCTACCGACTTGTTTGTATATTTTCTTGTTTAGAATGTACACTGTGAAAAATTAGTTATTTCTCTTGATGAAAATAATTTTATCAAAAAAGTTGTGTAAGCATTATAAGATATAGATATCTTAAAATATTTAACCAATGAAGATAGATCATTGTACATGTAATGTAATGAATTTTCATCTAAAGCAGAAATATCTGATTTTTAAATATGTACAAGAATGTGAAAAATATTGAAAGAGAACACACATAACTGTTTCATATGATCTACATATGATGCCCCTTTCATATGATTCTCATATGTAAATATCTTGAAACACACATAAGTGTTTCATATGATTTACATATGATGCCCTTTTCATATGATTCTCATATGTAAATGGCTTGAAACACACTTAAATCATTCATATGAAAATCATATGTAGTTATTTTCATATGATTCACATATGTGGATCATATGTAAATCATATGATTTGCTTCATATGATTCACATATGATGCCCTTTTTTGTGATTCTCATATGAAACCAATCATATGATTCACATGTGATACACATATGTGCATCATATGTGGCGAAGTTGCCTGTGTATGATAGGCGAAATTTTTGTATCAGATAAAACGAAAATACGATATTTTCCTATCAGAATATCAGGTGAAATTATTAATAAATATATAAGAAATGGTTTTGTGCTCTGATATTGTATCAGATTAGCCGAAATATTCGTTTAACCGCTATCCGATTAAATGGAATCCACTGTATTACTTTTATTCGGGTACTGTAGATAAAATTACATCGATTGACCTGGTCAATAAAAAATCTGCAGAAAAAATTAAAAATTTAAAATAAAAGCTGCCCGCCTCGATTTCTAAAAAAATTCGGATAAGAATCTAGCAATTTATTTATTATGGCCTAAAATTTAGCCTGGGTATCATTTGGGATTTTTTTAACTTAATTTTGAGGAAAAACAGTAAATTTTCAATTGGGACAGGGTCCTTTTCCATACACTAGACCTGGATGCAAGGGTTATTAAGCCCCGATACCCCTTTAAAAACGAAAACATGTATATGGCATTTTTTTCAGGAAATAGTAACACAACAGTGCTAAGTAAATATACATAATACAATACCATATGACATTTACCTCATTTGTGTAAGTAACCTTGACTTTTGGAGCAACAGTAGGTTGTGGAACAGCCATTTTATCTGTAGACACAGATGTTTGATCAGGGACATTGTATCCTCTGACTGCATCCTTCCTTGGAGAATCCACAAAATCTGAAAATAAACATTTTGATCTTAGTGATACTACCGGTACTGTCATTTACATTTTCTTACAAGAAGGATTATGGCTGTGTATTGAGCAAAAAATTTCGATATGATACAATATTTTTTTAAGCGATATGCAATATATTGGGTTCTTAAACAAGTCCATCAAAAAAGTCATAAAAAATCATTAAAATGCATGAATTTCATAAAAACTAAGTGTTTTATAACCCATTTCAAAGTTCATGCCTCCAAGTCATTACAAATAACACTTCAAATTAAAACTTTTTAAAATTACTGTAAAATCAACATGTTAAAATGAAATTATCTATGTAATAATTATAAATTATACTATTTCCTCAATGATTATTTGATTATTGCTAAGTTTTAATTCAAAAAAGTTTTATATAATCTTCAGTGATTAAAATTTTCATCTTTTTCACAGAATTAGAAGAAAAAAATGTCTGTTAGATACGTATTGGAAGTAATTTTTTGATAAGATATGATTCTTGAATATCGATATGTATCGATATATTGATACAGCCCTGAGAAGGATATGGAGATAAAAACAGTATATTCAATATCAAAGTCCATAAAACAATACAAAATAGGAGCAGAGCTAGCAAACACGGACCTCCAAAACATCAGGGGTGGGATCAGCTAGGTGCCATTACAATTACACATAATTACATACAATTAACTTTACCCATTCAGATCTTTTGAAAATTAAAATTTTAGTTTATCATGCAGATCTTGTCTTTGCTTCTGTTGTTCAAACACAAACCTGAATCTTTGATGATGATCTGCCCAATATATTTCCCATTGTTATCAAAGCTGTTCTCAGGCTCTGGTAAAGAGAAAGCTGGTAATGGACCTCCATAGATAGCCTAGATACGACAAATACGATGTAATTCTTGAACTAGCACAGGTATTTCAGAAGGAGAATAAAGTGCCCCGCCACAGCATGATACGCCCGCCAAATATTGTTCAATAATCATAAATTGGTTAGGATGCAAGAAAATCAGGTAGCCTTGATTGATTAACAGATTGACACAGATTTCAATGATCTAATTTCCATTTCTTATCATACTAAGAGACTTGCAGTGTAGGGATTGATTATAACAAATACATCATATAACTCTAAACCGGTTGTGTTAGAGCATAACAAATATCCATCTGCAGCTTACTTAAACTTAAATTGTTAATTGCATATATTCTGAAATGATAGAAATGCTACAGTTTAATAAAAAAAAAATCAAACATAAATTATAATTTCTTCAGACTATAAAATTCTAAGTGAGACATGACTGCAATTTGTTGCAAATATATAAAAATTGAAATATATATTTTTTTTTCAATGAACACATGTAAAAATTAGTTTTAATTTTATTATACAATATTAATTTAGTTTTAATCATACACTAAAACATAAATTTGTTTTAATTACATTACACCAATTGGAAGATCTTTATCTGGACTAGCCATCAAGAACTCTTAATTAACACAAGCAACTATGAGGCCATTTCTTTTTGCCCAACTCCCGAGAGATAAATCAAGATAACAGCTGCATCAGATCTATAAATGCTCTTAGCTCCTGAAAATAAACTCATTAATTTCTCACTAATTTGGCATGCAAGTTTCTGCTATCAAAATTCTTCTTGACCAGTGCTTGATAATTATGCCCATGGGACAAACTGAATTCCTCTCAAAGCATAAACATTTGTTACAGATTGCTGTAAAGTATATAATGAAAAAATAAGTTTTTACTTAATTTAACATTCTTTAATAAGGATACAACTATATTTTTACATTTTTTAGGATTATGAAATTTAAAATTTTAAAGACTTATTTTTTTAAAAAAATCACTTAAATTAAAGGTCACAGTGACCTTGAAATAGGCCGCGACACACCTTCTACTTTAGCTGTATACTTTTGCCAAGTTTAAAAGCTCTAGGTCTCATAGTTTTCTAGTTATGAGTCGGACAGGGTTTTTCCATATTTGGCTATAACATCTTAATTAAAGGTCAGAGCGACCTACTTTTTGTGCGCGACACACCTTCTACCCAAGATGTATCAGCTGACAAAGTGTGATAACTCTAGGCCTTATAGTATTAAAGTTATGAGCCGGACACGAGAAAAGCTAACAGACGGACGGACACGAAGCCTAACACATAATACGTCCCGTCTGAAGACGGGCGTATAAAAATACTCTTGAGAATATCAAAATAGCAAGGCCATGTTAGTCAAAATGGTAATAAACTTTCAAGTTTAATTCTGAAGTGACAACGTTATGGAGGTAAAAATGTTTGGGAGAATAAGAAAGAAATCTCTTTCATAAAAAAGAAATGCCCATGCTTGCTTAGATCACTTTGGCTCTGCTGTTCAATTCCCTTGTGAAACTCTCATCATATATTTAGCCCCACCATACCATCAGGGTCAAAATTTATTCATATTTGTATTATATCCAAGAATGCTTCCTGTGAATATGAGTAATCACAGACTTGCTGTCCTTGAGAAGAAAATACTGTATACAGGGAAATTTTCGCTCCCGTTTTATTTTCGCCCCTTTCGCCCTTTCCTTCATAGGGCGAATTTAAAACGGGGCGAATTCAAATTACACCTCATAATTTCTTTATCAGAACTATGACTGGGCGAATTTAAAATGGGGCAAAATTGTTCACAGGTTCAAAAGGGCGAAAATAACACGGGGCGAAAATAACCCTGTATACAGTAGTTCTTATATATTTCAAAGTAAAGCTTTGATTCATAACTGTGGCCCATCCTATCCCCAGATAGCCATAATTTAAAACCTACATTTCCTCAGGAAGCCTTCAAATATAAAAGTTTTATCTTTTCTAATTTCGTAATTCTCAGGAAGAAGGATTTTCAAGTTTTTTTTATGCATTCCAATGTTCACGCAGAAAATGTAAGAAGTTTAGAAACAAGGGACAGAAAGTCATACGGAAGCTGGACAATAGATGGTCATTAACCTTGCTTTTCAGATCAAGTAACCAAAGAGCAAAGTTAATGTGAATTAAACAAGTATTGTGGCAAAAGCTAGGGTAAGCAAGAAAAAAAAAACTTGGTATAAAAGTAAAGTTGTATCTTTGCCAGGTCATGGGACTCATGAAAGCGAGGCATACATGCATATGTAATGCACTGTTTCCATAGTCTTGCAAAATTAACACAAAAACAGATTCTTTAAAATGGAGATGACATACCTCACCAATAGATGTGTTGAGTTTTCTTTCTATGAGAGCTGATCGTTGTGGGCACCAGTTTTCTTCTGGTTCAATAAAGGTTGCCTTATCCAGAGTCACACAGTTGTCCACTGTGGTCAGTCCAAAGAACTGACAGAAATGGGCAGCCTCACTCTGGTCATCAAAACTCAGGCTCCTCACTAAATCCTCCAAAGGTAGCTGAAAATAGCAGGAAAAATCATATAAACCTGTAATATCTATTCTTCTTGTAGCAATAATTAGTTCTTAGTGTTTTGTAATTCAGATTTGATTACATTTTAATAACTGTGTTAGTAGTGTGCATACAATGGGCTTCATGATTATTGATGAAATCAATGAAATGCTGCAGACATTATTCCCCAGTAACTCACGAATGTTATCAAAATACTATCAGATCAGAAACACGTCAAACCTGTATAGCTGAAATAAATATTTCACTGTAGAATATATACACATGGAATTAATTATCGCATAATTTATGCGAGAAGCACCACATGCGAAATAAAATTACTCGCCTTTATTTTTATGGTGCTGAAATCTATGTAAAATCTCTTGATCAACCGTCCATTCGCAAATTATTATTCTCGTGATTTGCCGTTGAAGAGCCCATACGCGATAATAAGTACGTTAGTACTCGCCAAAAATAAGGAATCTACAGTAATTATTTAGACCATATCTCTGTGTCATCTTACGCAATTTCTTAATGCCTAATGCCTCAGCTAATGCCTTGGTTTTTATATTTCAGTCAACCTTTCTCAACCTCTGAGGTTATCCTGCAACATTCACAATAACACAGACTTGATTTCTAAACAAACTTGTTTGCAAGCATCAAATTTTACCTGTACTCCCTTGTGATGTGCCTTCACCAGGATATATAATGCTTTTTTCCTAACTTGAGTAAAATATCTGCAAAAAAAAAAAAGTCTTTTCCAAAGAAATTTCTTTGATTGTGACTAACCATACAACTCTATTTACGTTAATTCAATATACATTATTATTTTACCAATATTACATTTTTATATTATGCCAAATAAACAGGTAAATTATTTTCAGACTACATGTATTTCATGCCCAAGAGAGCTCTTAAAGCAATTGCAGGGAATGTTTTGCTGAAGAATTAGTAAAGGAATATGTTAGGAACTCATGGATAATGATACCAGTATTTTGAAATTGACAGTTTAGAGATACAGACATACACACCTGCAACTTTCAACCACACACATTTTCCTGATGTTCAATATACTGGTACTAATACCGGTAATAACAAGAGGCCCACAGGCCTTATAGGTCACCTGAGTATCATGTAACAACTTTCCAGCGATTGTATTTGGTTCTTGTTTTAATCCAAAAGCCATGAAATTCACAAATTTTGAAAGAGGCACCATTGCTTATCAAAGGGCATATTTCAAAGCATTAATTTATTTTTAGTCAAAGTACCCCCATGGTACCCCTGACCCAGTGGCCCTGAAATTATCTATTTTTGAAAGAGGCCTCTCTCTTCATTATAAGGCCAGCATTTTTTTATGTTTAGGTTTAGTTAAGAACATGAGAATTAAAAAAGTCCCAAAGGAGAAGGAAATAAAAAAAAAATTTGATAAATCAATCATTAACATTTGTACATTCTTTTTTATGCTATTCTAATAGGCTCCTTACCACTGGACACATAATGCTTACAAATAGGAAAGTAGAACATTTAATTGCTTATTTCATCATCTGCCAGTTTGGGCCAGTTATATAAATTTTGTGATGTTGGTCAAAATATATTTTAAAAAATCAATTCTTTAAAAGTCTTTCAATATATCTTCATTTTTTTAATATGTGTTAGGTGAATGTGTAGACATTGTTCTAAAATTTACCTGATGCCTAAAATTATAATTCCTATCATAAAACAGACAGGCAGTATTGGGGAGTAGGGTGAACGTTTTTTCAATTAAGTGTAAAATAATTTCTCTGGCTGATACAAATGATACTACATGCCTGTATATATCTGTATATTCTTGCCTTTCAATAGTTGAATTTTTTTTTTATTTCTTCAGTTACTTATTGTTCATTTCTTCCTCAAATGGACTTAACTTCTCCCATAGTTTTATTCATTACATCTGATGCATAAGCAACCCTTTTCTGAAGAATGATGCTTAGACTGTAAGCTATAACAGAGACCTAAACGATGTCGCTGGCAATATGCAATAGCTACCACGGGCAGTTTAAAACCTGGGGGAGGAAAATAATTTACAGACAGATACTTTTGAAACGAATACATAATTATCTCACCAGCATGTCATTGTGCAACAAAGTCGTCAGCATTTTATTTGTCCGTTGAACGGACGAAACGTTTTGAATGGCACTCGTATCGATGAATTTTACACTTAGCTTTTTTTACCCGCCGTTTCATCTTAAAACCGGAAGTACGAGTTCATAAATTTGAAATCTCGATCCTGACTCATATTTGACATCGGAAAGAAAAAAATTGTTTTATTTTTTTTTTCTGAAAATTCAAAACCTTGAGCGGAGGCTTTGTACAACTGAAAATAAAATAAATCCTGGCCTTAAATATGTAATTAGATCATTAGCATATTAACCAGGAGCAAAGGATAAGATGTTCAAAGAATTCATGCAATTCACTATATAATCAATAGAGCCCCGCCCTAACACCAGAACCCCTGACCCTGGGGCCATAAAATTCACAATTTTGGTAGAGGCACTCTTGCTCATCATAACTATGTACTTTGTTGGTTTATTTAATACCCAGGAGCAGAGAAGAAGATTTTCAAAGAAATAATGCATTTTCACTACCTACTTATTTAGCCCCGCCCTAGCACTAGAACCCCTGACCCCAGGGCCATGAATTTCACAATTTTGTTAGAGGACTCATTGCTGATTACAATCATGCAAACAGTTCGATTGCTTAATGTCCAGGAGTAAAGAAGAAGATTTTTAAAGATTGCATTAATTTTAGTGGTTTTGGCCCCACCCCTCAGGCCCCAGGGGGGCAGGGATCATGAAATTCACAACTTTTGTTCCCCTTCACCCATAGATGCTTTGTGCCAAATTTGGTTGAAATTGGTTCAGTGGTTGCAGAGAAGAAGCTGAAAATGTTCAAATGTTAACGCACGACGAACGACGACGGACGAAAACGGATAGCAATAGGTCACCTGAATTTACTCAGGTGACCTAATAAAAACTTTAGCTCTCTGATTGTTAATCCCAGTGAAACCAGTGAGCTACAGGATCTACAAATAAATAAACTTACCTGTGAAGAATACAGGAGCAGAGAAAGGATCCCTCTCTAACAAGACGGAAGAACCTGACATAGTTATTACTGTTGAGGGCTGCATAAACTTTGAGGGCATAGTTAATTAAAGTCGAGTTCCAAACTTCTGGTCTTAATTGTTGGGTCTCTCTTAAAGTGTGAAACATACAATGAAAGTCTCAATAATGTACCAAAATTGAAAAAAATATAGGCTGTAACTTATTTGTAGATAATTTATAAAAAATAAAACAACTTTGTATCAAGCATATGTTATATTTTAAAATTTACACATTTTGATCAGAATCTAGGATGGTGATAGAGTAGGAAGAATCTTTCTTATAGTTACCTGTATCAGCTAAGTATTTAGCATTAACATTAAGTAAATAAATCATTCACATTAGATATTATATAAATATTGCATGTAGTTGAGTGTAACATTGAAAATTTTCATCCCAAGAAAACCATTGTCAACCGAGGCGCAGCTGAGGTTGACAATGGTTTTCAAGGGGTGAAAATTTTCAATGATG